CAGTAAATTGGAGTCAGTATTAAAAATAATGAGATTAATGTTAATTTATTTAAAAATGTGGGTGATAAAAAGCTGTATTTGCCAAATAAAAATAAAGACCAGCTGATGAGGGGGAAATTACTTTATTTTTAAGAGACCACCACTAAATCCTGGGTCTGATCTTTCATGAGGCGGTGCCCCTCTTGAAAGGTTTGGATAGTTCAGGAGACCATCACAGTCATAGGATGTGGGCAGATGGAGGAACTGCACATACCATGTTCTTGAAGGTTTTGGCACTGGTCCTTCTGTCACATTTATAAATATCTGCTATGAACAATAAATGGAGTATCTAGCTCTTCCGTTCCAATATTCCTACTGTCAGCAAAGCTGTGTACAAACTTGGTGTATTCCACCCAGCTTAATCCACATACTAAACTTTTACATTTAAAAGTTCACATGATTCACGCCCACATGCAAAAGGCTCTTCATCACCCAAAACATGGTTTGTGGAGCCTGGTCTCAGGTATTCCATGGTTAAAAGATCAGGTCTCATGGCTCAAGTCCTGAAGTGAGATAAAATCCTGGCATGCTGAAGGGAAAAATAGCTACGACTCAAGTTGTGAGGAGGAACAGTTTCTGATTGTTCTGTCTCCAGGAGAAAATCTATCCTAGAAGTCACTCTTGTGTAAACAAATTATTTTCCCAAGGTAATGTGAGAAACTGTGGGGTATGCATCAAAGTTAACATGCATGACTACGGAAAGAAATCTCAAAAGCTGCTGAACTCGTCCAGCAAATAATGAGCTGACCCAGCCACACATCTCACATACAAGTAAGTAATAGTGTGTCACTGTATGAACACCCCACTATTATAAACCTATATAGCAAATGAGTAATAAGTCAGCTCCAACTCTTAAAGAAGTCAGTAGGGTTGTTTTCACTGATTTCAACGGAATGAAGATTGGACCAGCTATGGATACATAAAGTTATCTCAGAAACCAACAGAAAGAGCAGCAAAACCAGTGGGAATGCTCCAGACCTTCTTTACTTAAGCGTGCACATGTTTTGGAGGTATGGTCCTGAGATCTGTTTTTTAACATGTTGTGCAGTCTGCTTTGCATAATATGCAGGCCTTCATCTGTTCTCTTGTTCTTATTTGACCACACTGTGCACAGCTGCATTTCATCACTTTCTCAGGGATGTTGGTTCAGTTCAGGTAGTCTTTTATATTATTTGAATAATGTATATCATACACGGGAAGTGAGTTCTAATAAGCCTGCCAAGACACCCCTCTTCCGTTATTGTGAACAAGGGCTGATTAGAAGGTTAAGCAGGGAAAAAAGTACTGGTCTATAGCTAGCTTCAAAGATTTTTAATGAAAAACATGTATAAACTGGATTAAGAAGAAAAGGGCTATATCTGATTGGATTAATGTGTCCATATAATTAAACAAGTATAAATTTTACAGGACAAAACATCTCTAGACTTTACTCTTTTTTAATAAAGAATCTATCCTGTTCAGTCAATGTCCTCTAAGTAAAAGGGTGATTGATAATGAAAAATACACGTAGTCATAGTAAAAATAACCTTTTCTTCTGTAAGCACTTTAAATAACGCTTCTCAAAGGTGTTCACATATTGTAGAACCTAGAGATGGCTATCTGCATCTGAATCATTTCAGAGCGCTTAACATATCTCTGTAGACTGGGGGAGAGAGTTTAAAAAGTGCAAGAGAAAAGAAGAAAGAGTACTAAAAGGAACACAGAGCATTTTTTCCCTTTTTAGTTTTTCTGAACTTCTGAACTGATTTTGCTGAAGATTGTGAGTGTCTTTAGTACAAAGCAATCAGCAAAGTAGAAATCCTATTTCCCCCGTCATTCCCAGATAGCTTCAGTAATTCACCAGGAACAGCACGCTCCATGTTTCTCTGACATCTCAGCTTCATTCGTTTTTTTTCAGCACTCCATTTTGCAGATAGAGTTTGCCAGAGATAGCATGGTCCTGTGTCTGCATAGCAAATAATTGTGCATGCCTTGCCCTCGGAAACACAAGAGACCAAGCCTGCTAAATGTACTAAGTCTGGTCAGGTAGTCACACAAACTGTGGCTAGCTCTAAACCACCCACAGGCCATATAACATTGTGCAGTTTGCTAACGAATGCTATTGTAGCTAAAGGTAGTCCAGAAGAGAGAGACCTGACAACTTGTTTTGTCATCAGTAGTATGTTAAAATGCCTCCTTTAGCAAAAGTCAAGAAGCAGAAAGAAGGAACTTTAGTTTGTAGACACATTCTTTTGTTTAAGGTAGCAAAATGAGGCTTGAAGAAAGTAGAGCTGCAGCCCTACTGCTTGCTGTAGCTCTACTCCTGGGAAAGACTCTGCTAACCATGCAAGAGTATCATGGGGATTTTCTTTCTTAATAGGCAGCAACCATCTCTCAGATTGTGAGCCTGCCAGGACAGGATTTTATTTCATATTTAAAAAAAAAAAAAGATTTTATCCAGCCTCACATGGTATTTTAGGCAGGCAGGCAAGGAGGCTTTCAATTGGTGAAAAGGTGAATTTCACAAAAAAAAAAAAAAAAAGATAAAGGAGCTTTAGTATAAAGGGATGAAAATATTTTTACAAGGCCTGGTAGTACTAGACATTTAAGAAGCCTGGGCACAAGTAGCATTTCATCATCATAATTTCATTTCTAAGCTTTGCAATATATTTTGGGGATTCCCCTTAATGAAAACTACTGGGTAGGTATTTAGAATTACCACACTGTTTGATGGCTCTTACAGCAGTATTTCCCTGAAAAAGACACATACACAAAAGTCCAAAAAAAAATCCCACTATTATAATTTCAAGAAGAATTGAGTAGTAGCCCTTATTTTTAGCAACTAATTATTTCTAATCTGCTAGAGCCTGATATCTGCACTGCCATTAATTCACCTGCAGACTTCCCATTGCTTTGAGCAGGAATTGTGCAGGGAAGTCAATTGCAGGAATGGACACTTCATAGCAGTTTAAATGAAATGAGCCTCTGCAATGAACAAATGAACACTGAAGCTAATCTAAGCCAAGAAAAGCACATCGACATCCTGAGTGAGAGCTGACCTGAAAGGATGGAACATCAGGTGCAATTGTAATTTTTCAGTTTTAAGAGACAGATTAAGTGCCGAGAGCAGCTGGCAAAATGATAGAGATTATTTACAAGGATTTTTGTTTTTTCTGGAGCTGGGTCCTGTTATGAAGGTCAAAGGACAGACCTTGCTACTGTTCAAACAGAACTTTTTGGAAGCAAGATTGAGTCTCTGCCACTGGAAAAGCTTAATGTTTTAGTTTGGTCTTTCTATATAGCACCTGCCCAGCCACCAAGCACAACCTTGCAGTCTATCTAGTGGAAAAGGAAAAGCAGGCTGAACATATTTGGTCTTTTCAGAAGTTTCCCCTTACTCTCTCCTCCCCTCACTCCCACTGTTCTTTCAGGGAGCTTAGTTTATTTCCTCATGGAACCACTTATTGGGCTGAAGATCTAATAAATCTCAAGGGATTAGCTGTTGTCTAAATGCCCCCACCCCAAAAGGCCACAGTAGTGCTCTGCAGCTGAATGGACACACATTTCCCAGTAAACAGTTTCCCATTACAGCGATAGACCCTCATCACTGTCTACCCAATCTACAGTGGGGAGTGCGTGTGAAGAGCAGCAAATGAAATCAGGGATTGCCTTATTACCTTTCAGGAGGGAAACCGGTACATGTTTGTCCTCAGTATATCAGATCATGACACAGCCATTGCCCCAGCTACAGATCACAGGCCTACAGCTGTTGTGGTGGGAGTGAAGATATAGGGACTTTATCAGTGTGATGAAGGTTAGATTTTTTTCACGCGTTCTTGGATAATTTTATAGGCAATTCCAGCTGAAGATACCTGAGGGTGCTGCTTGGCCATCAGGAAGAAAAAAGCTATGTATCTCTTAGCGATTGCAATGCGTAATACTACAGGTATATGACTGTATCGTATGTGATATATACGATTGTCTCTCTTACATGATTGGTGGATGCTAGGACTTACTTCAAGTTTTGTCTTTAGTTTCAGCCTTCATTTCTTCTTGGACTGGTCTTGCTCCTTATAACCTCTGAAACGGAGTCATTCCAGAAAAGAAACTGTTACAAACCTCAGCCTAATTCTTACCGTTCCCCTTTGTCCTCACTTCCATACAAGCTCTTGAACAAATTTGCTAATGAGTTTTATTTTCAGAGTCAGTATGACTGATTAACTGAAAAAAAAAAAGAAAAGAAATGGATGCAGGTCAAGGTGTATAATATTACAAATCTAAGGTAAAAACAGGCATCTTGATTATTTTCTTTGATTATGGTAATTCCCTTTAGTTATTTTATGAACTTAGCTTTTTGAAATAATATGAAGTTATGAAGTCTCACCTTCTCAAAACTAGCACCCTTAAACGAATCTCACCTTCAGCACATCAAGATTACCCCAATTTAAACCATAGAAAATCATAAATGGATCATAAATGGATCCTGAAAATGTAAACCAAAAATCTTTTTCTAAGTACGACAGGTACTTTTTCCCTGGTAACCAGGAAAAAGAAAATCAGAGTTAAATCATCAAATTCAGAATGTTCTGTGATAAGCATTGGTGGGGGGGGGGGAGATGCATCAGGGCTTTTTCTCCTAGGAAAAGTCTTCTAGATAGTTATTTATGGGGTTACTTATGGGGATTTCCCCTTCTCGGTGATATAACTGAATTACAGTAATTGTACTTTTGAATAGACAGAGACACACGTGTACAGTATATATCTGTCTATACACAGGCACTCTTTAGCTTTTGAAACAACCCTCTCCCCAAATCTGTCGGAAAATACTGAATGTTTCTCTCTTGCAACCAGGAAGTGAAAATATATAAAATGTAGTGCTTATATTTAAGTTGGTATTATTCCACCTGTATTCAAATGAAATTAATGGTATTTTCTAATTTTTCTGTTACAGGATATCATTGTTTGAGGCAACATACCCCATAGAGTAGCTGAATCAGTAAAAATCTGCTATACCAAGGACGATCTTTCTGTAATAACAGTGCAGCTCAAGGAAACATTGGGAGTCACGTCTGAAATACCTAACAAACAGGAAATCAAAAAGAACACACAAAAGGCTTTATAATATATTATTTCTACTTAACACTCCCAAGGTCCTTTTCATCTGTAAAACACTTTCTAAGCATTAGCCAAGAAATTTTCACAAACTTCTTATCTGATACATGAGATATTTTCCAAATTTGCAGATGGAGTAATTGATAGCCAGTGGTGAATGACCTTCCTAATTTCACAAAAGGAGTCATGATGCACTTCAGTCTGAAGCTCAAAAAAGGGACTCAGATTGATTTCTGCAGTGATTGTGAGACAACGTCACAACATTAAGAAAAAATAAATGTTTAGCTTCCCCCAAGTTACACGTGAGAAATCCTAAGAACTAAACAAGTAAAAGTAATTCACGGGTGGATAAGTGGATCTTATCTTAAGTGTATCATTTTGCTGCTCTTTTAGGACAAATCAGAATTATGGTTTTGTACCAGCAAAAATGAGATGCATGGCATTCTCTATTGCTGAGCTGAGCCTGTGTGACAGTCTGTGTTTCCTAGACAGCCAGAGTGTGAGAAGGAAAATGCTCTGCCTTGAATGGAAGAGCTCCGTTTTTCCGAGATCTAAATTCATTTATTCCTGTGCAATAACAGGACTTATTTCACCTACCTTTAACCAACTTAATGTTAAGCGTTTGTTTTAAGCTAGTCATCTAGCCTGCCTCTGTAATTAATGGATACAGATAAGCACTTCCAGAAGGCAATTCATCCCATCCTGAAATAGTTATCTAAGGTAGTAATTTATTCTAAGCTAAATTAACTTAGCTTAAACTGCTTAATTTTAGCATCTAAATCAGGCAAGATGAACCTCAATCCAAGAATTAGCAAAGAATAGCAAAGTCAGTGAAAGTACCAAAGCTTCCACAGAGAGAACACAAGTGTCTGTCGAATGGAAATCATGATGGACAAAGGCCTTCCATGAAACCAGGAGAAATTCACTTTTAGCAAGCATGTTTAGCTGGCAGAAAGCTTCGTGCAATACTATTTGTACTACAAGAGTTTTACTAGCTATGAAACGCTACTGGTGACAGAGGCAACTGTACTGGCTAGGTCAGTGAAAGCCTTTCAGAAGTGCAGAACTCTAAGGACTTTAATAAAAACATATTTTGCTCATGCCTGTAATTTGTACTCAGTGTTAGTGTACCTGTTAACAGTGTTAGGCCTTCAACATGGAGGATGTTTTGGCCAGATGAGCTTACTCTACTCCAGTCTTTGGAGTCTCTGCACCTGGGACAATAGAGATAATAAGACAAGATGACCAGAACATGTGGAGAAATCCACACGGCTTGGACCAGGTGTGAACAGACAGGTTAGGAAAGCCTACAGTATAAAGTTATAGTATGGCTTCTAGACATGAAGCCATGTCCAGAACTCTGCCACAAACTCTTACTGCCCACAACTCCACCACAAAAATAAAACCAATTTTTTTTAAAAATAACCTAAACATCATTTTACACCTGTAAAAAGTGACTTGCCTAATGAGACATGCTCAAGAGTGGGAAGACTAACTCATCTCCTTAGGGAATTGGGTGCTTCTCAAATGACGAAAGAGGGACGATGAAGTGAGTTACTCATCTGATTGTGTCTAAGGCCCAGTTTTGAATTTATGTGGGAAAACATTACAATTTAAATTATAGTTGTTGACACTAAAGAGTTGGAAATGGAACCAGGTCAGATTCTCCTCTCATTTACATAGAAGTAAGTAAGAACAAACCGCACCAAAGTGACTAGACTTGACAACGCGTCCTCTGGACACTGGGTGCTGATACGGTGCATTTGCTGTGCCCACCCTGGGAGCAGGAGTATCGACACCACACGGCTGGATTGGCACGGCACAGTGCCCAACCCAATCAGTCGTGCTGAGAGGCAGGGCCCGCGCTGTGCCACTTCATTCATGTGGCATCCAAAACAGACCTGTCCCACGTCTGGCTAGATTAGAGTACAGGCAAGTTAAATATGTGACTGTCTACACTTCCCTATATGCTCATAGCTCTTTTATATGGAATTGAGAGGAGAATTGGGTTCAATACATGTTAATTGTGAAGCAATGGAAATTTTACTTCGTTTCAGCTCTCCATAAGCCAAGTGACTAGTCTACGTGCTCAGGGTCCTTCTATGATCAATGGAGAGAGATAACAACCTCTGGAGCAACTCACCCTAAAATAGGTGTGTCTGAAATAGGTGGGACAGGTCTCTTTTCACAGACTAGCAAAGAAATTTAAACACCATGCTTGGACCAGATACTAAACCCTTAGAAAGTTAACATAAATAAGATGAATCCAGTCCAAAAGACTATTTTAAGATAAAGTTAAATCAGTACTTCCACCATAAAAGGTATTCGAAGGCTTTCAAAGTTTTCCCCAAGACAAACATCACAACCCCAGGAAATTCAAGAGCTCTGCTTACACGTAAAAGACACCCCAATGTATTTGGGTGCAGAAATGCAACTAAGACGTACCAGTAACTTTAACTGCTCTCTGAAGTATTGCACAGAAATACCACCATGACTGTGGTGCCAAATTAGACACTGATTTGTAAAGCCATGTTGGATTGCTTTTTATATCTCACAAATGTCCAGACATAAATAAAGAGTTTAACAATTTATTCCTATACATTTTTAATACTAATGAATTCCTAGACTTACTTACAAGTTTTTTGAACAAATATTTTATACATCACTGCTGATAATCATCTGGCGATATGCTGCATTGAGTTCCATTTCATGTGGCAATAAACACACACCAGTGTAGTAAGATGAAAGTAAAACAGAGTATGTATGCATTTATACAGTCACACATAAGAGCTGAGGGAGACCAAAAAAAGATGAAGCGTTTGTGTAGTCTTAAAGTGGTACATCAATCCTTTTCTGGCCCTCTACATAAAGGGAGAACTCCGTAGTACATGAGAACAGATGAAAAAAATGAGGTAATTGACTGAAGTACAACACTTTTTTATAAGTTTTTGCCTAGAGCAGAAGGAAAGCATACATTCCTGTATGGATAAATTATGCCCTTGGAGTCTAAAGGCCATAAGCTGCAAGAGTCCTTTTTACAATTTCATTTTTTCTTAATCTGGTTAATATATGAATGGGAGATAAATAGTTTTAAAATGAATGATAATAATCACATAAAGAATTGCTTAAAGGACTTTTTTTGGTTGGAAATTAAGACATCTAAGTTTTCTTAAGATTAAGGAGAGTATGATATAATTTGAAAGACGAAAAAGATTTTGAGGAAATGTGTAAAAACAATGAAGAAATGTCAGTGCTTAGGTGTTAGCTGTGCCTATGTTTAACATTGTTTATAGAGACAGGATGACAAGCTAGGAATACTTTTTAGGCTTTCTTTTACATATATGAGATTGTAATTTAATGAAAATTAAACTTTCTGAAAAGTATGTCTATGTCTACTGGAAATACTTATTTTTGCTTAGTAAAGGTGTTACAAATACAGACTGAAGCACGGAAACAGAAATAAGATAAAATAGTACATGAAAAGAGGAAATATGCATAAAAACTGTATGTCTCAATGTTCAGCAAGCAAACTGCAAGGTATGGAAAGCCACCACTGAACTGCTCTGTTTACAGTAATTTTCCTCAGAGGTACAACTGCAGCATGAACACCAGAACTAACATTACAGTCACAGTGTGGTTACTGCTGTGCTTAGAGAAGGTTATATTAGCTTTATATAGCTAATATCTTTTCCTTGCGGTTCTGTTTTTTTTTTTTTTTAAATCCACACAAAATATTTTCCCTTAAAAGAAGACTGAAGAAATCAAGAATCAACTGACAGCTGTCAGTTAAGCACTTCTAGAAGGCACTCGGATACCATATTGATGGAAACACTCCAAGAAGCTGAAGAGAACAATCCAAAGCTATCAGGAAGACTGACATGATGGTCTAATAAGTGTTCTCTGAATCTTAATATTTGGGCCTTTGTGATCTAGAGCTGACGTAGTCTCACAAACAAACACATGCCACTCGTAGGTTGGTGGCAGTAGAAAGACACAGTAATTTTAAACTGGGACCAGTAATGAAAATGAAGGGAGTAAAAAGGAAGAAGTTAGCATGCTCACATGTGTAATGATGCCATGACATCAGAGTATCTGTTCCTTAAAACACAGCGGAAATCACAAAATCACCTGCTCACATTTATCCATGCTAATATCCACTAATATATCTAATTTACAAGCTACATTTCATAAGCTCCTGACTGAAAATTTAATTTCAAGACTCAGTTTATACGATATATTGACGTCTAATTTGGGAAATTCCTGTAGCTCTTGTTGGAAGGCACGCAACCACGTACTTTCACAGCATACACAAGAGTTCAGACCATGTCCCTTAGTGTCTTCCTCACTGGTATCAGCTCTTTATCTGACACCACAATATGTCCTGTAGAGACACAGATGCTCCATTTGTGAGACACTCCTTGATGGCAGAGAAGCATTAAATTTGCGGACACTGCTTTTGCCATTATAATAAGTAAATACGTTTCTACTTTTGTATGAGCTTCCAAGGGACAATAGAGTTCTCCCTCTGTCCCTCTGAGGGGCTCAGGAAGACGGTGGCAAGATTGCACAGGAAGTATTAAGCACTTCCAGAGTTCTCAGAAGTCTTTTAATCTCAGCAGTGAGACTGCTCTGTGGGATTCAGCCCTCAGCCTGGAGAGGAACAGAAATCAGAGAAATGGAGGATCCCAGAGCAGAAAGGAAAATAGTCTGTACTCAGAAACCAACAGCTAACAAGCATACTTACTTTCTGTATCCTCCAATCAACATCTGGGATGTACTGGGATACTTTTTACAATTGTGAAGCTTTTGTGAGTGATGTAAAAAGAGGTAAGATATTAACACTTTGGTGCCCAGAGGTCACATACCTTTGTAGCTATAGCCCAAACATGAAAGGCAGGGGAAGGCTTTAGCTCCTTTTTCCAGTTGGCCTGCCTTGGTGCTGGCACCAGTCCGGGTAGGCAGAGCT